TTCAAGCACTCAAGGTATTTTCTAGGCTGCAGGGACGACGTGCTGTACAGCCGACATTCTCGTGAGCCTGACGAGCTGGTTCCTCCATCAATAATCATTTTACCCTTTCCAAACATCGGCCCGACAGCGAGTAAAGACTTTCTGAGACAGTGATCAACCGAGGGGCCTTTAAACAAGTTGATTTTAAATGATGCTAAGACGTTTCATACTGATGTGGTCGAATGTTGATCTGTGAGGTGTTCTTGTTGCTATGGTAACGAAACACAGTGCTTCACAGCTTGACAGTCTGGGCTATTAATGATTATTTTCGGGATGCAACTTTTCGTGATAGAAATGCCTCAATTGTGCAATTAAAGTCGGATTGAGGGGCGCCGGTAGCCTAGTGGTTAGTGCACGCACCCCATGTATGGAGGTTGTAGTCCTCCAAGTGGACGGCCCGGGTTAAAATCTGACCTGTGGCCCCTTTCCTGCATGTCATTCCCTAATCCCTCCCTCTCTGGTTTCTGACTCTCTCCACTGTCCTGTCATGAGTATCTCTGGATATAAGGCAAAAAAATAAATAAACGTTGAAAAAAAAAAAGGTCCGATTGATTTTAACGTTTAGTTACACGCCCCAAACACTGGGAGGGGAGGGGAGAAGAAAAAGAAGACAATGAACAGTCAATCATGTCGAAGGGGTTGGGGTCAGCGCAGCTTCAGGCCCCGTGTCTACCTCGCGCTTTTTCCGGGCAGAAAAGCATCTAGGTAGACAGCGCTTGCATGAAACGCGCTGCACGTCCGTCCCGTCTCTATGACAACAGTCTGTTGACCGCTGTATGACCGGCACGGCTCCGTCACTTACTGCATGTTTTATATTTGAGATCGTTTATTTCCCGACCAGACAAGGAGCGAGGAGGATGTGGAGACAAGACACGACCTGTAGGCGGAAAAAAATACGGGGATTTTCTTATATTTTGAAAAGTGCGTCGGTGACGTCGGCATCGCCTTTCTGAAAAGTTGCAAGATTTTCAACTTAAGCAACCAGACAACCGCCTGCTGCTGTAAACGCTCTCTACTTGTTGAAAACAACTTAAAAAGGAAACTGGCCCTCAGAAAAAAAAAAAACCGCTGGGTGGACACGGGGCCTTACAGACATTTGGAGCAGAACAAAAACAACTTCAGCAGTTTAGAGATAGTTTGGCTTTTTGGTGATGCAGGTTGTAATCCAAACAGCTCTGCTGGTGTCAGCTTGAAGAGAACTGCTCGTGTTATACAATGAAACTTATGATTTTTGACTGTTGAATAAATGCAGCAACATCGGCACATATCGGAGATAAAATCAGCCGATACCAAATTGCTGGTAGTCCTTTTATTTGGCCAATATTGTTAGCTGGCCGATTAATCAGTCGGACACCAGTTTTCATTCACAATGGAAACTTTGTGCACATGACTGTGCAAAAAACCTCTTTGCAACATTTAGTTGCCAAACACTTCTGCAACTCAGACTCTTTCTCACCTTCACTTAAAAACGTTACCTTTGCATCATTAAAATAACACACATTGCAGCCTTAGTGTGCAATGAGCACACTGTCTGTCAATGAGTGCACAGGTGAGTCTAAATCACCGTGACGCAACCAGATATAACACATATGCAACATTCCTGGTATAATTAGCATCTTTGGTACCTGTGTCAGGTCCTGGTCGGTCAGCAGATGCAGCTCTCGGGGTTTGAAGCAGTTCTGACATTTGCTTTTATTGAAGAAGTTCGCCTGGAATTTCCTGCAGGGGTTTTCTTTAGCGGTAGACATGTTTAAAAAACAAAAACTGATGTATACGTGCAGGACTTTTTATCAATGAAGCTGTAATCCTCCTCTTTTTTCTTCTGAGACTTTTTATCCCAACAAAGCTCCACGACTCCGACGCATTTTCATGTGATAAAATATATCGAATAGTTCGGGGATAAAAGGTTCAAATTAGACTCTTCTTCGTGTCTATCCAATCGCTGGCTCCTGATAAATAATTAGCTGCCATTAAGCCGGGCTTCCCCTCCCTCAGTCCCTCAGTCCATGGCCTGCTCCCACAAAGCGAGGAGGCTAGTATCCTGTTAGCTTCCCGTGGAATTACACATCAATAATGTAATGGCCACGCAAACAACACCTGCGCACAGGTACCTCCTTTAAGCTCCCATGAGACGGTGTCCCTTCTGTAACAGCAGACTCCCATGTGGAGGTGGACCAGGCTCAGACAGCAGGACCCTGTCCCCGGAGGAGCAGGCAGTCCATGCGAACTTCATCCAGTGTAGCCACGGTTAGCGCTGGGAGCTAGCTCGCAGATAGCTCATGAAATCTCGTCCTGGCTCGTGTCTATTAACTTTTAAATAAATATTTTAAATATATATATCCGGTAATCCGAGCCGGTCCCGTGTTAGACCCGCTGCTTGCAGGGGGAGCAGCTCCGTGCCGGTCGTTCAGGGTTCGGGTCCATAACTAGCCTTGTTAGCAGCGAGACGTTTATTTTCTTCTTTCCCAAAGGAGCGAGGGGGAGCGGACACTCACATACACACACTCACACACACACACACACACACAAGCTGTTGGGAATCTGTGAAAGTCTCGCGATAACTACTCACTCTCGCCACCCTGTGGACACGGTCTACTACAAAGTGTGTTTTTATAATAATAATATTTTAATGTAGAATAGTTATGTTTGTTATTTTTTTTACATGTTGATATGTAAAAATATGCTTTTTGTGCGTCATTACTTTAATAAATACAAAAATATTTTTCATTAATTACATTCTGTATATTAATTCATCATTGTATTATATCATGTTTATTATTTATGTGTGCTTTCTAACTAATACATATTTATTAATTTGGATTTTAAGTTAGTATATATTTTAGATTATTATTTTATGAATTTCTCATTGTGTTATTTTTTTGTTTATTCTTAATTTTTATATCATTAAATTTATTTAATTGTATTTTTATTTCAAAATGATATTTTATTAGCGTATCATTGTATTATTTATTTTTTATTCACATGTTATTTTTTGTTACATTTTTACATTATCGTTTTATTAGACTTTTATTACGAAATTATTTGTTAAAAAATAATACGATTTTGTGTAATTTTATGTGATCTTTAGATCTTTTAGAAAAGTATTTATTATTAATGAGGAATTTGTATGGTCACTTATAATATTATTGTAGATTTATTTTTTTGTTTTTATCTTATTTATATATATTTTTAAGATCTTTTAGCATAAAATATTTCTGTTATTAAATGACAGTTGTTGTCATTTTATATTGTGTTTGTTATTGTAAACAAACAAGAGGAAAAATCTCTTTATTTTAATCTCTTATAAATTAAAATATAAAACTGGAGTTTTAAAAAACAGCTTCTAATAAATCCTGTATTACCAAACTAATAAAACAATAAAACATGTCACATCGCACGCCAAATATTGATTACATCATCATAGACCCTATAAAAAGATTGTTAAAAGATTTTTTAATTGAATTAAACATTATCTCTGGTTACTGTGAGGTGCTAAGAAATACAAGAAAAACGCTTTTAATGCAAAGATGCAAAATTTTGTAATGTTTCATATTTTCTGTCGTTGTTTATTTGATTACTGATGTCTCTGATTTTCACAAAGAAACAACTTTATTTTCAGACTCAGACTCAGAGAACTATGCATCACTTCAATACGAGCATCAGAATCAGCAGGCCGTCTCCACCAACAATTCTGAGGAATGTATGAGACATGAGAGCTCATGAGCTCCGAAGGAATAAGATGTGGTTAGTAACTAAGATTTACAGATAGTGACATGTAGTGATATGATGTTAATGCACAGAGAGAGGGACAGATAGGAGCTCAAAGTGCTCAGTTCCACCCATAGTCTAACCCTATAGCAGCATAACTAGAAGCTGCGCCAGCCCTCACTATACGTTTTATCAAAAAGGAAAGTTTAAAGTCTATTTAAAGTACAGAGTGTGTCTGCCTCCTGTACACTGAATGGTTGATGATTCTAAAGGAGAGGGGCATGATAACTGAAGGCTCTACTTCTCATAGTACATTTAGAGACTGTAGGTACCACATGCAGCCTGATAACTGAAGACTCTACATCCCATAGTACATTTCGAGACTGTAGGTACAACGAGCAGGCCAGATAACTGAAGGCTCTACCTACCATAGTGCATGAGCAGGTCTGCATTCTGGGAGCATAATGTTCTCAATGGGTAATACGGCACTATTAGCTCTGTAAGATAAGATGGTGCCTGACCATTAAGAGCTTTGTAAGTGAGAACAAGGATTTTAAGTTCTATTCTATGTACAGTCTTTGGTTCATACGCACAGGGCATCAAAAAACGTATTTCAGTCAGCTCCAAAGGTGGATGTGAGCCAGGCAGAAGGAGCTAACATTAGGCAGGAGGCTATCGCTAACAGTACTGATTGAATGTGCACACATTGATTTAAATCATATCCCGAGAGGACGCAATCAATGGGCCTTTCAAGGGCCCAGCCATGTTTGCGGGCGGCCCTGTATGTGGGTGTAGGAGGTCAGCGAGGTACTTTGGGAGGCGGAGGGATTTATAAGTGAGGAGAGGTATTTTGTATTTGATTCTGGACATTATTGGGAGCCTGTGGAGGGGGAGATGAGGGTTGGGGTGAATCTTGCTGCTGTTTTGATGCACGGAAATAAACAAAAACATCGCAACAAATAGAAAGCAAGTGGAAAGCAAAACTCTCACTCTCATGGAACTGTAGAAAAATAAACTGACCAATGTCGACATAAAAGACTGAAGAGCTGCAGGGATAAACACACAAAGTGTATGTGAGTCTCTCATATGTGCAGGTCCTCTCTACACGCTGGCAACAAGGGAGCATGCCTCAGATAGCCTTCACTGCATCAGTGTGTATTAATGGCTGACTGAAGCAGAGGCTATTATAAGCAGAAGGTTCAAGTGGACAGACAGACAGACAGAGGGACAGACAGACAGACAGACAGAGAGAGAGAGAGAGAGAGCGAGAGAGACAGACAGAGAGACAGAGAGAAAGACAGAGAGAGAGAGAGAGCTGTGTGAATGGACGAGGGACACAGAGCGAGGGAGGCGAAGAGACTCTGTTACCTAACTACACCCTGAAAACAACAACAGGCCGTCCTGCTGAAGGATTAACTCCCTCATCGTGCTGTAAGTGAACCAAGAATAAAACAGATTACAGGTGTGTGTGTGTGTGTGTGTGTGTGTGTGTGTTGTGTGGTTACTATAGATGTGCCCTCTTTAACCCGGTGGGATCTGATCAGCCCATATATTCAGGTCTGGTGTGTGAACTGTGTCTCTGTGGACAGGTTTTTAATGTGGATTAGCGCTGATCTTCATGTTAATCAAAGTACAGATAAAGGGCAGATAAGGTCACGCTCTGCTTGGAAATAGGAAGCCAGCCTCCTCAGTTGCCCCCCCTCGACCCACCACCACCCCCCCTCCTCGGGGTATCTTATGACAACTTCCCCGGGGTGACACAGTGAGCGGTATCTGTGGGGCAGAATATATTTAGCTGCTCTCCTTAAACTCACTTCACAAGGGAAGTTTGACCAAAGAGAGATTAACAATGGAGGTGTCTTTATTTCACATCACAGAGGAACAAAAAGCTGCAACGTGTCGACATACAGGATGCAAATAAACAAAGGGCTTGTTTTTAGTTGTGGGTGGGACCTACTTCCAATAGTTTACTACTTTTAAAACTTTATGTTTTCAAACTCTACCTTTGGATTCATGAGCACAGATTATGTATCTGAACACACTCAAACAGTTATAGATATTTTAAATTGTGTGGTTTTAGGCGCCGGTGGCCTAGTGGTTGATGCACATACCACACACAACGAGCTATAGCCCTCCAAGCACGTGGCCCAATTTCAAGGCCGTCCTGTAGCTCATTTCCTGGCTGTGGATCAGTGGTAGAGTTGGTCGTCTCTCAACTCGAGGTTTGGGGGTTCGGTTCCCAGCTCCTGCAGCAAACCTGATCACATTGTTTCTTTCTCTTCTGATCCTCCTCAGATCATGACCCTCCCCTCGGTGGCGGTGCTCCCCCTGCTGGTCGTAGTGGCGGCGGGCGTTTACTACATCTACAATGAGGTCATGCGGTACATGTCCAAGTCTTTAGTGAAGAACAAAGTGGTGGTCATCACTGATGCCGTTTCTGGGGTCGGAACAGGTAAAAGATCCCACTTCTCTGTTTAATCACTTCCCTTTTCACTGCCATGAAGGGTCTGTCTGTCTGTCTGTCTGTCTGTCTGTCTGTCTGTCTGTCTGTCTGCCTGTCTGCCTGCCTCTCTGTCTGTCTGTCTGTCTGTCTGCCTGTCTGTCTGTCTGTCTGTCTGTCTGTCTGTCTGCCTGTCTGCCTGTCTGTCTGTCTCTCTGTCTCTCTGTCTGTCTATCTGTCTGCCTGTCTGCCTGTCTGTCTGTCTCTCTGTCTGTCTATCTGTCTGCCTGTCTGTCTGTCTGTCTGTCTGTCTGTCTGTCTGTCTATCTGTCTGCCTGTCTGTCTGTCTGTCTGTCTGTCTCTCTGTCTGTCTATCTGTCTGTCTGCCCCCCCCCCCCCCAAACTAACACATTTGTGGATCTGTGTTCTGATCTGTGAAACAGTAACACCTCCACATGTAGCTCTCCACCAACTTCTCCTAATAAGTAATTCAGCATCTTTCTGTGTTTGTGTTCAGAGTGTGCCCATCTCTTCCACAAGGGCGGGGCCAGACTCATCCTGTGTGGGGCGAGCTGGGACAAACTGGAGTCTCTGTACGACTCTCTGACGAACGACGCCGACCCCAGAGAGGTGAGGACATAAATACACACATAAATAAAACAAGTCTTCCATTAGTTTCACTCCGAAACATCATAAATAAACCACACTGTGAGTAAACTGTTCCAAAGCATCGCTCTTTATTGTGGCGCTGCTGAGTCATGCTTCTGGAAAACGTCCCTGCTGAGGCAGAAATCTTTCTCTCCAGCTGCCGCAGTAAACACAACTATCTGTTACTGGGATGTTACCACAGAGCACAGCTTTAATCAGAGCACAGAGAAAAGACCAAACAAGCTGTCCTTGTGTTTATCATCGTCCTCTGCTCCTCAATCCACATTTTCTCCTCAACACAAAAGCAGGGAATCCTCTGAGACAGCTCACTGTCCTCCAGGTGTCCCTCACACCAGCCGGAGCTGATGTATTTCAGATCAATGATATCACCTTATTATAAAAAACACAGCTCCTGATGTTTAATTGATTTCTGCTAACTGCTTTTCCTGTCTGTTCATTGGTTAGAGCTCAAAGCTGTCTCCGCTCCCTAATGTTGGCAGCGTGGTGCCACCAATGTGTTTCATAAAAGCAAACTCTGTGTTTCAGAGGGACAAACTGACAATATGTTATTAATATGGATGCACAAAACTGTTGTGTTGTAGATAAGACCACACTAACCGACACCAAGACTTTCCCGAGACTTGGTCTTGACCGGTCTCAATTTAAAATCAAGAGTCCGCTCAGTCTGAGACCGAGACAAGATTGAGTAAAAACGATTTTGATTCCGAGACTGAGACCTTCAATAAGCGGTCTCGAGACTTTTAGTACTACTTTGTACTAGGAGAGGATTTGTGACAGAAAGTTAACAGACTGAGAATATTTACTCTGAGCGCTATCAACCCCTTCTTCTTTTCAGCTTCGCCTTTTTGTCCACATCTTATCTCTCCTTGCTCCAATGACATCAGGATGGTAAAACCACAAGGTTTGGAAATGTTAGTCTGCAAAGGGATGAGTTGTATTACTGTGGCTTCAATAAAATTAAACATTATTGTGTGATGGCAGAGACACATACTGCATGCTCGGATGCTGGACACACTGATGATATGCTCCACAGGTTTATATCGTGCAGTAACACTGTGGTGTCTCCGTGCAGACGTTTGCTCCGAAGCTGGTGATCCTGGACTTCAGTGACATGGACAGTGTGGAGGAGATGGTGTCGGAGGTGGTGGAGTGTTACGGCTGTGTGGATGTGCTGATCTGTAACAGCAGCGTGAAGCTGAAGGCCCCCGTGCAGAGCGTTTCTCTGGAGCTCGACAGAAACATCATGGACATCAACTACTTTGGACCCAGCTCTCTGGCTAAAGGTGGGCTGGACTTTACTGTGAAAATCTACAGACAGGCTGAAAAGACTTCCTGTAGGATGATGGTTCTTATCTTTGTTACCTCAGAGGTAATTTTCCTCTGACCTCACACTAAGGGTGGGAACATATATCGCTTTTATTTTGTTGACCTGCTCCGTTCAGGGTTATAAATTGAAGGAAAGAGCAAATCTGTCAAATTCTTATTTCAACAATTGAACCCCAAAAATCTGCAAAGGCATCAAGTCCAAGGTGCAAAATCCGGTGTTGAGAAATGAAGTGCAGAAAAAGTTCAGTTCCTCAAGTGGCGACCACCATGTCCATGTTTCTTCACAGTCTACAAGGAGGCCATGTTTCAATGATCAAAACAAATGCTCTCTTTCAAGTTTGCCCCCTCCCCCTCCTGTCCTCCTACCCTAAGTGTGACATCAGAGAGAAATGGCCGCCGTGTGAACACGCTCGATCCATGCTGACTCTCGCTCATGTTGCAGGTGTTCTTCCCACAATGATCTGCAGACGATCGGGTCACATCGTCCTCGTTACCAGCATCCATGGAAGACTGGCCGTGCCGTTCAGGAGCTCATGTGAGTCACAGCAGTGAAGGGTTCGTCCTGAAAATATACTGCTGCTTTAAATATCCCACTAAAGGTGAAGGAGCTTTACTCTTATCATACTTTAACTAAAGTCTTTACATCTTTTATGTCATATTGTAGGAGAAGTTAAAGGCAGGGTTGGTCATTTTCTACAACTAGCATGACTTTGAAAGTAACATTCACTCAGTGATCTGTCTACACCCACCCACTCCCCTCTGTGCTCCCTCAAAAGCCACGCCCCCTCACTTACATGCACGAGCGCCGTTGGTTCAGAAGCGGACCTCAGCTCATGCTTTGAGTGTGGGCTCGTGCACGCAAGAGGTAGAGAACGAGCAATTTCTGTCAGGACCTAAAGACATATTCAACCAAAATCTTAAAAAGTGGATCTGGAGGAAATTACCAACCCTGACTTTAAAGTCTTGATATTGATATAAATTATTTTAAGAATAATCCTCCTCTGATTCAATAGAGACACAAACCATTTTATTACTGTGGGCACAGCTCGCTGAGCGTAGGTTAAATATATACCTTAAGTTTGGACTTTTATTTCCTGTTTGTGCACAAGGGTCGTCCAGATATTTTCTTGAGAAAGGGAGGATTTAGTGCAGGATGATTTGATTAGAATATAAAAAAGGTTCTAGCATGTCCTTTGCAAAATGTCAAGTATGTACGAGTCTCCTCCATAAAAGTCCTGAAATGAGGAAAAGACTGAAGGAAAAAGGACAGGAAAGTTTATCGTTGTTAGCTATTGGCAGTTTGGGAGGTTTAAATTAGAGGCTCTCAACTGGAGGGCAAGAGAAGTCGGCAAGAGAAGTGGTTCAGATAGAAGTGATTGTACCCGACCTAAAAAGCCTCTGCATGTTTCTAATAAGCTCCACGAGCAGAAACGTGCTCAAACTAGGATCAATATTGGAGATGCTTTTGAAAAATGGAGAGAGGTTAGAACACAGAAAGGTTTACAGACCGATGCAGAGCTGGATAAACACTGAAGCTTCAGTGTCCACCACATGGCAACCTGAGTGAGCATCGACTCTGGAGAGGAGGGGGCCGGGGGGGAGACAGCTCTCTATGATGTTTAGAATTTGGACTGCAGTACCCACTTTAACCACTAGGAGTCAGAGTTACATACTGCTCCTTTAAATGACAGGAGGAGAACATCTTGTTTGATTTATTTTGGAGTAAATGAGAGTAGTGATGATTTACTGTGAAACAAAAAAGATATTCAAATGAAACGTGTAAAAACGTGAGTTTGTGTTTTTAGGTATTTTAACCTTTAATGGTGTAATGGTAGCGAAGAGCTTTGTGACTCGTTTGGTCTGCAGACGTCAGGTGTTCAGAGAAACTTATTCTGCAGGATGAGAGAGAATCCTGGACACACTGAGTACACCTTTCCCAGGTCACCTGAGGGGTCGGCGCAGGTTTAATTTGAGACTTAATCGAGATCTATACCTATATGCCTCAGCATAGGTGAAGAAAAGTCATGTGTCTCTGCGTTAAATTTAGTTTCCATAAACTGAAACTCGTTCAGAGAAAAGTGAAGCTGGCAGACGTTCACTCAGTTTAGTTTTACAGAGGGAAACAATCAGACTCTGAAATGTTTGGAATTAACCTATAGCTAAGTCACACCTGTGTGTGTGTGTGTGGTGTGTGTGTGTGTGTGTGTGTGTGTGTGTGTGTGTGTCTCTGTATGTGTGTGTGTCTCTCTGTATGTGTGTGTGTGTGTGTGTGTGTCTCTGTATGTGTGTGTGTGTGTGTGTGTGTGTCTCTCTGTATGTGTGTGTGTCTCTCTGTATGTGTGTGTGTGTGTGTGTGTGTGTGTGTGTGTGTGTGTGTGTGTGTGTGTGTGTGTGTGTGTGTGTGTGTGTGTGTCTCTGTATGTGTGTGTGTCTCTCTGTAGTGTGTGTGTGTGTGTGTGTGTCTCTGTATGTGTGTGTGTGTGTGTGTGTGTGTGTCTCTCTGTATGTGTGTGTGTGTGTGTGTGTGTGTGTGTGTGTGTGTGTGTGTGTGTGTGTGTGTGTGTGTGTGTGTGTGTGTGTCTCTGTATGTGTGTATGTGTGTGTGTCTCTCTGTATGTGTGTGTGTGTGTGTGTGTGTGTGTGTGTGTGTGTGTGTGTGTGTGTGTGTGTGTGTGTGTGTGTGTCTGTGTGTGTGTCTGTGTGTGTGTATGTCTCAGACACAGCCTCTAAGCATGCGGCTCAGGCCTTCTTCGACTGTCTGCGGGCTGAGGTGGAGGAGTATGGGATCTTGGTGAGCACCGTCAGTCACACCTTCATCAACACCTCCGAGCCGTTGCCCGTTAAAGAGTCCGCCCCCAAAGCCAACACGCTGTCTGCATGTGAGTGACTGAAGATAAATGATTACACAGGTGTTTCAGCTCACAGCGCTCTGCAGGTTAAAGGTGACGTTATTAGTTTGTGAGTCTGTATCCTCTCTCCTACAGTCATCGCCAGCCAGCTGACCCATGGTGTGCGCCCGTCCATCCTGGCCAATGAGATCATGCAGACGGTAAACAGGAAGAAGAAGGAGGTGGTGCTGGCACACCCCGTCCCCCGGGTGGCGCTGCTGCTGCGCTCCTCCTCCCATCCTTCCTCTTCGCCGTGCTCGCTGCTGGAGTGAAGGACTCGGAGCTGAACGAGCAGATGCAGTAAAGACGCCATCCAGAGGCGGAGCCTGCAGAGCCTGCAGAGCCGTCAGGCTTGAGTGGTCATCAGGAGGATGTTTGTTTGTAGAAATGTAATAAAAGTTTAATTCCCATGAAATGAAGATGTTCTTTAAATCATGTTTGGAGTGTCTCCTCTACGACTGAATCTCCCCGACAACAACACACACTTCACATGCACGAGTGAGCCACAGGAAACACTTTTACAGACTAGTGTTGTAGTCAAGACCACACTAACCGAGACCAGGACATACCTGAGACCAGAGTGCTCCAAGACTGAGACAAGACCAAGATATTTAGGGATCGAGAACGAGTAAAGACCAAAACCAAGGCAGGACAAGACCAGGACAAGACCAAGGCCAAGGCCAAGACCAAGGCAGGGTGAGACAGAGTCAAGACCAATAAGTTTCAGGATTTAGACTGAGTCAAAACCAAGACCAAGACATTAAGAGTGAAAGACCAAGGCCTTAAATATCTCTGAAAAGTCATCATCTTGTGTTTCGGGGCCGTGTCCCTCACTTAGACTGTAACACCAGGAAGGCTCCAGCCGAAACTGGGGGATAAAATCAAACTACAAATGAATTGAAGTTATTTGTTCTTTTAAAAAGAGGCGTTTTCCTTCTAATGTCAGTGATGACGTGGAGAAATAGTCTATCAGTGGTGGTCTTGATTTCAAATCCAGAGTCCGCCCAGTCTAAGACCCGAGACAAGGCCGAGACCTTCGAAAAAGTGGTCTTGAGACCAAGACCGATCTACAGCACTACCACAGACCTGTCCTCCTGTGTTCCTGTTTCTGCTCACACTAACTAAATAACTACCTAAGCTATAAATAAATGTGCAGAAGTTTCACATTAAAAAGCAGCACAGAATGATGACAGTAAAGTTATTTATAAAAACCTTAAAGTGGAAACACAAATTAACTGCAAAAAACTAAACTTTTAGGAAATTTAAACAAAACAAACACGTTAAAATGTCCAATGACCTTTCTTACCCATCCATCATCTATATCACTTTTCCTGTTCGGGGTCGCAGGGGACTGTTCAGCCAATCACAGAGCTGACATATAGAGACAGTCAACCAGCCACACAGAGTACCCGGAGAGAACCTACACACACAGGGAGAACATGCAAACTCCACACAGAGAGGCTCCTGTCAGACAGGGATTCAAACCAGGAACCACCTCACTGTGAGTGTGTGTGTGTGTGTGTGTGTGTGTGTGTGTGTGTGTGTGTGTGTGTGTGTGTGTGTGTGTGTGTGTTTGTGTTTGAGCTCAATCAGCTTCTGCAGAAGAGAGAAAGGTGAAGACACCAACAGCAATACACACAAACACACACACAACGACACACACACACACACACACACACACACACACACACACACACACACATACACACACAGAAACACACACACACACACACACACACACACACACACACACACACACACAAATGCACACATGCACACACACAGTGACATGCACGCACACACACACACACACACACACACACACAGTTCGTCCTCTAGGTGGCAGCAGCGCGCAGTGATTCTGATGCAGGTCAGACGCTGTAAAGCTTTTTGTTTGCAGACTTCTCAGTTCCTTCAACCCACCCTCCCTTCCCTCCTTCCTCATCCCTTCACCCTCTTTCCTCATCCCTTCACCCTCCTTCCTTATCCCTTCCTATTCAACTCAGCATGTCTCTCTCATTTCAGGTCCAGTCTGGGCCGTAATCAGTTCAGGTATATTAATGTCTGAGACGAAACCTCCACTCCTCCGATCAACCTCCCAGACCAGAGTTCATGTTACGTCTTAATTATTGTTTCAGAGTTTTACTGTTCCTGTAATGTTTGAATCACCGCCTGCAAGTCAAATAATAAAATCAAATTTTCACTTTCAGTGATGCCAAGACCTCCTTCAGGCCGCGATGATGTTCACACAGAGAGCGTTACGGAAAGTCAGAAACAAAGGCGAAATTAAAATTCCAAACGGAGAAAGAGCCACAAGAAACTCTCTAAAAATGCCAGGAGGAAACACCTGGAGGTACGAGGATATCTGCGGCGATTCTCGAGTCTGACGGGGCCCTCTTTAAAAATGAATTGGGGGTCCCTCCAAACAGCCTTCATCACATCGTGTCTGCCGGGATCGTTCCTCTTCCTCCTCTTTTTACCTCTTTTCACTCACACACAGATAACTTTGGTCTTCACAGCAAACATGAATGCAACGCTTAGCAGGGAATGGAGAGTTCTGATTGGGCCCCCATTTTGCATTCCGAGCCACTGCTGTAGGCTAAAGTTTGTCAGCCCGTGGGGGCCTCCTACTGGCTTGGGGGCCCCTTACAGTTGCCTGCCTCGCCTATTGACAACCAGCGCCTCAGATCGACGTCTGACAGTGACAGAGACTAAAGAGACAAAACCAGGTGTGACAGACGAGACAGGTGACCCTGATGAGGGCGATCAACGTGGAGGGAAACCACACACAAGAGCAGGAAGTAGACATGAAACACCGGGGAAAGAACTACAAAAAATAACAGGAAAGACTGAAAACCAACAGGAAACTAAGGACATAACAACAAACACGAAGGGGAAGGAAAAGACAAAATGAAACAGGAAGTGTTGTCTGATGAATAAAAATACAAAACGAAACCAAAAACTCAGGACAGACTCATCCAGTTACATGTTGCCCATAGATTTATAGGTCTCATCACTTCAGGGCTGCAGCGGGCCTTGTATTAACCTGCAGGATGACACGGAGGGATCACTGCAGCTCCGAGCACGATCGACAATCTGAGGGGAGAGAAAGAGACAGATTTTATAGATTCATGATATTTGATATCAGAAATAACTTGAACAGAGCCTCTTTTCTGATGCTAATGAGTCAGGGTCTGGTCCACTGTGTGTGTGTGTGTGTGTGTGTGTGTGTGTCTGTGTGTGTGTCAAGTGTTGGCGTGACGTCCAGCTGGTGTGCGTGCGTCTGTCCTCCAGGTCACTCTCCTCGGGGGAGTTTAGGATCTTTTGTCTCCGTAGAGACGGACAGGAATGTGTGTGTGATGAATAAATGCAGCTCGGTGACATTTCCTGGCGTCACACAGGAAGGACTCCTCTCAGCTGGTCGCTCTAAATTGGCGTTTTGATCGCACACATTTACATTTGTCACATGTGTTTCAGTGAATGAAGCGGAGGTCAGTCGGTTTCATGTGAGGATACATGTTCATAAAAATAGGTTCCTGATTGTATTTCTCTCCTTTTCTCTTGTTAAACTTGTTAAAGGAAGAATGCGCGACATTTTGATCCAGTAGATGTTGCTCTTGAGCTCCAGCATGAAACAAAAACAAACTTCCTGTTTGGCCACACCTCCTCCATACTGAAGCCTCCGCTCTCCTCCAGAGACACACCTCCAAACCCCTCTCCACTCACGTTCTCAAGCGGCGGACAAAATCGTCGTCTTCTCGAGCTTCAATCACCTGTGTCCTGCATTGTTGTGTTAGCGCTCTTTAGTTAGCTCGTAGCTTCACATAACATGTAAACTGACACAGAATGAGTGTGATCTTAAAAACTCTTACTAACATCCAAATAACCAGTGAGTATGTTCTTCTTCTCTCTAGTTCTTGACTAAAACAACTTTTATACACAAGGGGAGGAGCCGGCCGTCCTGTCCATGTAAACACGGCTCTGACAACAACACAGCCAGCAGGACTCGAGCTTCTCACTCATTGAAGACAGTCACGACTCAGAGAGACATTTACACAGGATATTCTTGATCTCTGATATATTTATCATGTTGCACATTCTTCCTCACACAGATTCTCTCACTGCCAAAGGTCCTGCAGGTCATGCCGTCTGCCCCCCCTGGTGGTCTGTCTGTGCACTGCGTGTATCTGGTTATTTGACAGAATACAAAAAGATCTCATTGAGAATGGAAAGGATTAAAAAGGTGTGCATCATGTCTCCCTTGGCTGAGAATTAAAGATGTGTTCAGTATCATGTGAGAGTGATGTGTATGGAAGCCCTGAGTGGACATTCATCATATCTACATATCACAGTGTGCAGTTATATGAGAGAGTGATGTGAGGATAACGGTCCCTCTCCACCAGCAGGATGCAGATCAGCTGATTGTCCTGCAGACGTATTCAGAGTGATGCCTCCTGACTTATAAATGAGAAGCAGCTAACGGGGACGTTTGGCGCTCTCTCTCTCTCTCTCCATGAGCGAGGTGATCACCCTTATCAATTTTTAACGCTCAGGTTATTGACACAGAGCTGAGTGATGGAGGTTATGCAGAGGCCATGGTAATGATTCCCTGAGCTTTAACACACAGCAGCACCATCATGATGTCGATGGTGGTGGGGGGGGGGGTGTTCTGGCTCTGCCTGTATTAAAATAAAGTCTGCATGGCAAGGATCTGTTTGTCCGTCTGTCCTCACTTTGGATGCAAACTGTCAGATGAGACATAAAGATGTGTGTTTGTCCAATCAGGAAGCTTGAAGACGCACAGTTTTCTTATCAGGCTGGAAACATACTTGATGATTTTAGGCCCAAATAGACCCAGGGGGCGTGGCCTGATTTGAGGCTCGTCGCAACTGATTATAAGGCCAAATAATCCTAACGTGTGTGGTGTCACTGTGATTATTTTTGAATCAGGGCCTCCCTGATCTGGAATCATCCTGGTCCGGCTGCCTCTGACTGAAAACCTGCGACAGCCAATGAGAGCGGGCACCAACCGGATGTTTCATCACTTTAACAGCTCACAAAGATGGCGGTGAACAGAGAGCGACTTCACCGTCTTCTCAGCCAGGAATTCAGTCTTGTTCTTTTTCTCGTTTTACTCTGCAAAACAGAACGCACGCCAGGACAGCCAGCTGACCACGACCATCATCCTCCATGTTTGTTTTTCTCCTCAAGTCACGTTTGATCACGCAGGTTTCTGTGAGATCTCGTCTCTGTGGAATCGTTTTTTACAAACAGCAGGTGTGTGGTCTCGCCGCCGCTGCATCGCCCGGGCTCGTCTCCTCGTCGGTTAGAGCATCACACTCAACAACAGCAGACCATAAAAACATAACACTGATCAAAACAAGAAGGTGGACACTGAGTAAAGTGTGCAGCAGGAAGGTTTCTCTGCAGCC